TAGATTTGCAGCACTCTCAATAAAAATAATAGGAAACTATATTAATGGTGCTGTGGGCTACTGTGCTGGACTGAAAAGTCAGTTTGAATCACAAGGTCAGTGGTTCAAGCTCACTAGTCACTCCTTGGAAACCCTATATAACATTGCTATGAGTCATAACCAAGTTGATGGCACTTAAGAGCAACTACAACATACTTGTATGTATTCCAATGTGATTTACCCCTAAATTTATCAGTTTAGATTTATGATTTTAGGATCCATTAAGTTGGATGGTCCCACCTCAGAATCTGTCTTGAGGTAGGAGTCAGTGTCCTGAAGTTAACTTAAGGCTTACTTGGAGGTAGAGAATCTGCTTCCAGATGGCTCCTTCACACAGCTTTTGGGAGACAGTCTCAGTCCTCCTTCAGGGAGTCTCAGTTCCTTGTGAGGTGCATTTCTTCTTTGGACCAATTTGGAATCCAAAGCAATGGCAGTAGGCTTCCTCCAATGATATGGTCCAAAAATAATAAAATGAAGGCCACAATCTCTTTCATAACAAAGGTTTAAAAGGCATGCTGCACAGTGGCAGCTACCTACTATTGGTTATATAGATCAGCCCCATTCATAATGAGAGCATAAATACATGCATGAACATACATACCAAGAAGTAAGAATTGTTGTGGACCATCCATTTGCTTGTGTAAAGATTACAGCCTTGGGAGGTCTTTGAGGCAATTCTACTCTGTCCTATAGGGTTATTATCAGTCAGAATTGACTTGATGGTAATAGGTATTGGTTGCCGTGGTTTTTGGTAAGTGCCATTGAGTTGGTTCTGACCTATAGTGACCCTGCACAGGGCTTCCAAGGAGTGGCTGGTAAGCTTGAACCACCAACCTTGTGGTTCATACTGACTTTGTACTCCAGCGAATTCATCTGGAGTGCCACACCAGGACTCCAATAGGTATTAGATATATCTTTGTAATATTTGTCAATGCAACTATGCAATATATTTCACTCTTCTATAGGATAAATTTCAAGGTATGAAACTGTTCCTTCAAATGATACCTGTATTTGTATTTTTGAAAGATATTGCCAGAATTCTCCACATAGATCTAACTTAATTTTCTGAGTATGTTTCTGGTCACTTGCCTGAAGAGGATTATTTTCTCCAATAGAGATTGCCAATGATAGGTTTCCAATTTAGTATGTTGTTGTTGTTGTTAGGTGCCATCAAGTTGGTACTGACTCATAGCGACTCTATGCACCACAGAACGAAACTGCCCAATCCTGGGCCAACCTTACTACTGTTGCCACGCTTGAGTCCATCAATGCTGCCACTTTGCCAATCCATTTCACTGGGGGTCCTCCTCTTTTTCTCT